TGCCCGTCACAGCCACAAGTGTCGCAGGCCCAGAGGTTGACACCAACACCGAGATCGGCGGTGTGCCTCCACCGAGGGATGAGGATCCCAATCTTGGAGATGGTGGTTACATTCTGGCTTCCAAGGTGACCGAACCACTACCACCAACACCGGAATCCAGGATCATCTTCCCCCTGTGGAGGCAGCCCCCTGCTTTGGTGTTGGTGCCCCTTTCCCAGGCCTCCACAAGTGGTCATTCCCTAACACCGTCTCGCCAGAGGATTCCACCAGAGTTCAAAGGTTCCTCCCGCCAGAATCTCCACAGAGGGGGGCCGGGGGAGGCGGCTCACCGGTCAGGCGGCGCGATGCGGCAGCGCCATGCGGCAGTGCTCATTGGTGCGTTTGGGTTCGATTTTAAGTCCACTTGGCATCGCTCGGACGTGTGCATGTTTCCTTCGGCGAGGACCATCGAGGAGCATCCTTGATCATTTGCCGAAAGAACCACGCGCGAAACTGAAAAAAACACAGGGAGTGGACGTTCGAGCGATGGCCAGGTCCAGAGATGAGACTTACCATGGTGTTCTGGCTCGATCTGGCCCAGGGACGAGGCTCACGAATTGTGGTGTTCTGGCTTGATCTCAGCCCTCCCAGATTCACAGGCGAGACTGGCTCGATCTGTTCAGAAACGAGACTCACCATTGTGTTCTGGCGCGGCTTTCTTTTCACAGATTTTCCACCGGGGGAGGCTGGTGTGAGGCGTCTCACTGGTCCGGCGGCCGTCCAGAATCGATTCTCTTTGGCTTTCTGGCTTGATTTCAGCCCTCCCCAGGGCCCTTCACAGATCGCAGGGCCCCTTCACAGATCCCGAACTGAGGCTCTCTTTGGTGTTCTGGCTCGATTTGTCTCAGGAAGTTACGGTGTTCAGGATCGGGCCACCGCCCTCCTGGATCCAGAAGTTGGACTGGCTATGGTCTTCTGGCTCGATGCCGTTTTAGTTCGTTTGGCTCGAGACTACATGGTGTTTGGGCTCGATTTCAGTTCAAGTTTTCTTTTCACCCGAATCTCCACATGGGGGGGGCGAGTTTTCTGGCTCGATTTCAGCCCTCGCAGATCGAGAAATGAGACTCACTCCTTGGTGTTCTGGCTTAATGTGGTCCAGAAATGCGGCTTGCTATGGTGTACAGGCTTGATTTCAGCCCTCGTAGATCCAGAACTTTGACTTGCAATGGTGTTTGGTTCGATGTCGTCCAAAACTGAGACTCCTTATGGTGTTTTGACTCGATTTCAGTTCAAACATTCCTTTCACCAGAATCTTCACACGGGGAGGCGAGTGTTCTGGCTCGATTTCAGCCTTCGCAGATCCGAAGATGAGACTCAGTATTGTGTCCTGGCTCGATTTCAGCCGTCGCAGGTCCAGACATTGTGGCATGAGCATCGGGTTCTCGCCATTCCAGCTGTACCAGGTCCAGAAGGTGTGGCACGGCCATAGGCTTCTCACAGTTCCGGCTGCCAGGAGTGGGGTCGGTGGGTTCCTAATGTTCCAAGCGCGGTCATGCCACCATGCCGACATCACTATCGTTACCTTCATCAGCAAGTTGAAGTCAGTAATCTTATCGAACAACTGTTGAGGTCGTTCTCGCACATCGACGTTTCAGGCGTCCATCCGCCTCCACACCTTAGCTGTGTTATGCGGGTGCCTTTTCTGGGGTAGCCTTGTGTGTTTCCCCGTTCCCCTCCTCCACCCTGCTTCGAGACATCTTGCTTCCCGCTTCTCGTGATCATCCTGCCCCTCTTGTTCCCCTCCCCGCTTCTCCTGTCATCCTGCTCCTTCTTCTCAGGAGGGAAAAGACATACAGACACAATTAAACGTCCGTTTCTATGAACATGCGGGAAAATATGGGAAGTGGGGGGAAGAGAACGGAAACCCTGAACAGATTGGAAATTGTGGTGGTTCTTTGGGTTTGTGTGTCTTTATGTGCGTGTGTGTCCCTGGGTCCTTTGATGCTTCTTCTCTCCCGATCGTGGTCGTCCGCCTTCTGCTGCTCGTCTGAGTCTCGTGCCCCTCTGGCCCTCGCTGCCCCTCCTGCTGCTGCTGCTGCTGCTCCCTGCGGCGCATGCTTCGGAGCATCCTTCGGCTCCTGCTCCTTCAGGAGGGGGGAAGAACACACAGACACAATTCATCGTCGATTGTCCAGGAACATTGTGGGAAATCTTGGAAGTCCAGGGGAAGACGAAAACCCAGAACAATTGGGAAGCTAAAGGGAACAAACACGCAGACGCAGCGCATATTCGATTCCCAGGGAAACAGGGGGAACCATGGGAAGTGTGGGGGGAAACGAAAAGCCCAGAAACTAGGAAACTATGGGGAATCCTGGGATTTGTGTGTACTTGTATGTGTGTGTGTGTGTGTGTGTCCCTGGGCGCCTTTACTCCTGCTTTTTCCCTGTGTTTCGTTTCCTCCCACCGCCTTCTGTTAGCGCTCCTTCAGTTTCCCTTATTGGCTGCTTGCCGTGGGCTGTGATTGGTTCGTCTCCTCTGTGTCTCTTTGTTTCGCCCGCTTGCTGTCCCGCCCCCTTCATCCTTGCCCTCCATTTTCGATCCTCTCGTCTCCTTTTTCCGCGGGTTCGTTTTATTTCACTTTTTCTCATCTTCGCATACGTATTTAGTGGCCTTCGACCCAACACGCCCCGCCGTGCGTGGGTTGTGGACCAGGTGCCTCTTGTGGTGGCCTCCCGGGAGCCTCTCAGGGGGCTTCATTGGGGCTTCTTGGGCGCCTCCTGGGAGCCTCTCTGGAGCCTGTTTGGGGGCGTCCTGGGGCCTGCTTGGGGCTTCCTGGTGGCCTCGGGGGCAATCGTGGGGCCCATGGCAGGTTCCCCGTGTGGACTTCGAGGCCGTCTTGAAGCGGTCTTTCCGGGCCTTAAATTGGGCCGTTGCTGGGCTCCTTGCGACCCAGCTCGGGTGCTGCTAGCAGTGCCCCCTGCCCCAAGGTGCCCCCAAGGATTTCCAAGGAGGCCCCTCGCGGCACCCGGGGCACCCCATCACGAGGCCTCGAGGGCCCAAGGCGCCCAAGATGCAGCGGAGAGCTGGTGGGCACCCTGGGCTGGGGGCACTGGAAGCCCCCGGCAAAAAGGCGAGGAGGCGGAACACATTCTTGCAACACTGCTGGTTGCTCAGTTTCCTTTTGCCCAGGACGGGCGGCGCACACCTTTGTCATGCCCGCTCATTCGCGCAGGCATCCCTGAGAGTGGCTGCGAGGTCGGCGTTCTCGAGTTCACCGTTCGCCACTATCCGCGGCGGTGCTTGCCTGGGAGGCACCGCGGCATCTTGGCCTCCTGAATTGGTTTCCTCTGCTTGGGCGCAGAGGGCATGCCACGGCAGACTCTCCTGCAGGCCGAGGAGCGGTGCTCCATCTGGCTCGATGGCACGCCCGAGTCAGCTCGTCTTGCCTCATCGCCGTGTTCAGATGTCGCCGGCATTCGGCGAGGCACGCTGGTCGTGCGAAGGTGTAATTCTCTTTCCCTAGGTAAGCTCAGTGGTATAGTTTCCCCGCTTCCTTCTCTCTCTCTCTCTCTCTCTCCTGCTCTCCTCCCCTCACTCTTTCTCCCTCCTCGCGCCTCCTCTTCTCTGCCAGTCTCCTGCTCGCATTGCCTCCTTCCTCTTTCCTCTTCCTTCCCTTCCGTCGCTATCTCCTGCTCTCACGCTCTGCTGCTGTCTTTCTCTCTTCCTTCCTATTCCCCCTCCGCCTCCCTCCTGCTCTATTCCTTCTGCTGTCTTCTCCCTCTATCTTCTCTCGTTCCTCCTCCTGTGTTTCTTCCCCCCTTTCTCCTCCGTCTCGTCCCTACCCCTTTTTTGCCAGCATGGGTTCCCGCGATCTCAAGCTTTCACTTGTAGGTCCTTCCCCCCGGCTGCGAAACGCGCTCAGGGACCAGAACCTAGGATGAAGGCTCAATACCCTGTGGTGAAGGAGAGGATGAAGATGAGGATGAGGAGGATGTGAGGAAGAGGAGGAAGAGGAGGAGGAGGAGGAGGAAGGGACGGATGATGATGATGAGGAGGAGTAGACGGAGAGCGGAGGGGGAGGAGGAGTAGAAGGAGAGTGGAGCGGGGTGGGCTCGTCGTGACAGAGGAGGAGGGACATGTGTTGAGTTGATGGGCGGGGGAAAGTGTGGATGATGATGAGCATGAGAATGAGAGATGATGATGCTGCTGCTGATGATGATGATGATGATGGTGGTGGTGGTGATGGTGATGGTGACGGTGATGATGATGATGGTGATGATGGTGGTGGTGCTGATTGGTAATGGTGGTGATGATGACGACGACGATAATGATGATCATGATCATGATGATGAAGACGGTGATGGTTGTGGTGGTTATGATGATGGTCATGCTGGTGATGATGACGATGGTGATGATGATGCTGATGATGATGATTACGACGATGATGATGATGATGATGATGTATGATGACATGATGACGAATATAACCACTGCGACGACGACGACGTCGACGGTTACGACGATGACGGTGAAGGTGATAATGATTATGATTATGATTATGATGATGATGATGATGATGATGATGATGATGCTGATGCTGATGCTGCTGATGATGATGATGATGATGGTGATGGTGATGGTGATGGTGATGGTGATGGTGATGGTGATGATGATGCTGATGATGATTATGATTATGATGATGAGGAGGAGGCGGATGAGTATGCTGATGCTCATGGTGATGGTGATGGTGATGGTTCGGTTGCTGATGATGCTTACGATCGCGAGAATGAGGATGATGCGGAGCTGGCGGAGGATGGAGGGGGGAGGACGATCAGAGCAGGAGGACGAGGAGGAGGAGGAGGAGGATGAGATGGAGTAGGAGGAGGAGGAGGAGGCGGCCCAGGAGGAGGAGGAGGAGGCGGAGGCGGAGGAGGAGGGGGCGGAGGCGGAGGAGGAGAGAGGATCCGCAGAAGGCCAAGAGCACTTGCAGACAGCACGGCGGAGCGCCCCGCGAGCCGCAGGACGGGCCGCGCGGGCCGGGCTCCTGGGCGGCGCCGGCGGTGGCTGGCGCCTCCCTGACCGCCCTGGCAGGCGCGCCGGCCGTTCTCTCGCCGCCGCCGCCGCCGGCGCGGGCGCCGCTGCCGCCGCCACCGTAGCCGTCGGCGTTGTCGTCGCCGTCGCCGGCGCCGCCGTCACTGTCGTCGCCGTCGCCGTCGTCGCCGCCGTCGCCGTCGTCGCCGCCGTCGCCGGCGAGGCGTCACCGTCGTTGCCGTCGCATTGGTCGCAGGTCGCCGCGGCCGGGCGCTGCTGCTGCCGCCGGCGGTGGCGGTGCGAATGCTGAGCGCTGCTGCCGATCGTGGTCGTGGGCGTCGTTTTCGCAGTCGTCGGCGTCGTCGTCGACCCCCTCCTCGGATTTCTGCGCATTTTCCAGACTTTCTGATGTTTCATTCGTCCTGCTTTGCCTCATCATTCTCACTCTCCCTACTTTCGATTTTTGCAGATGCTGGATGTGTGCTGGTCCTATCGGCCGCTATGCTGTGTCTTGCGCTCGATGACCTCGCGCTGCATGCTGCTCCAGGCGCTCCGAAGGTCCGAAGGGTGGCCTTTCGACTCCGTCCCTCTCTCACTTCTCCCTCCCTCCCTCCATCCATCCTTGCTCCTCCGTTCTCCTTCCTGCATCCTCTCTCTTCCTTATCCCCGCTCCTCGCTCCTTCCACCTCGCTCCAAACTTCTCGCTTCTCTCTTCCTCCTCCGCCCTCCGCTCCCTTCCTCCCTTCCTCCGCATCTTAGTCCTTGTCGCCCTCCTCTTCCATCCCCGCTCGCTCCCCCTTCCTCGCTCCTCGTTCCTCACCGCTGGCTTCTCGCGCCTCGTTTCTCGCCGAACGCTTGTTTACACACCTCTGCCCTCCTCCATTGTCCCTCCTCCAGTGCCCCTCCTCGGTTTCCCCTCGTCGCTCCTTGCTCCTCCCTTCTCCTCCCCTTCCTTCTCCCTCCACCCCCTCCCCCTTCTCACACCTCTAACCTCTACCACCTCCTTTTCCTCCGGATGCCGTTTTCCCTCCTCCCCGTCTCCCCCTCTCCCTTTCCCCCTCCTCGCTCCTTGCACCTCTCTCTCCTCCTTCCTCCCCTTCCCTCCTCATCCTCCCCTCCCCTTCCCGTTCCTCACTGTTCCGTGGTTCCCATCCCGCTCCATTAGTAAGATATGTTCTTGCTGGTTGGCTCAGGTAGTGGGAGCCTTCGCTTCTGTTGCCGCAGGCGCTTGCAGACGCCCCGTGCTTGCTCGTGCTGCGGCCGTCTTGTCCTGAACGCCTCCCCCCCAGCGAGGAGAGGAGGAAGCGAGGATCAGTGGCGGGCGAGGGGGGGAAACGAGAAGGAGAAGGCCTTTTCAGAAGGCGGCGGGACTTATCAGAAGCCCTCGCGCCTTCTGATAAGTTTGTTCTGTCTTCGGGGAAGGCTTATAAAACTTCTCAGAAGGCCAGGGGACTTCCGAACCTTCTGAGGAGGCCTTCTCTTTCTCACTTCCCCCCCCTCGCTCGCCGCCGAGAGGAGGAGGAGGAGGAGGAGGAGGAGGAGGAGGAAGTGGAAGCATGATGATGAGGCTTCGGAGGAGACGGTGACGACAACGACGTCGGCGACGGCTCCGACGTCGGCGACGCCCCAGGCGCGCACAGAAGAAGCCGGCGGAGAGCACTGGGCCATGGCCCAGCGCGTTCCATCCGAGTCTCCCTGCGGCAGGGCTCTGCGGCGCAGGTGCCATGATCCCCCCATCCCCCCCCCTGTCCTTGTGTTTCCATACCTTTCCTTCACACATAATTCTTCCTTGTCGCATCCCCAGTCGCGTCGATACGGCGGGCCTTGCGTTTCGCCTCCGACTCCATCACCGCTTTTGATCCTGAACCTCGAAACTCGCAGCAGTTTTACTGCCGAATGGTGGTTTTTGTGTTTCTTTTTCATTTTTATGCGGCTCTCGCTTGAGCGCCGCGCACACTCGCCTGAACGGTTTGCATCAGTGTCACGGGTGGAGGGCGGTTTTTGTTCAAACGATTGTTCTCGCCCCCCCCAGCGCCGCGCACATACGTCTTAACAGTTTGCAGCTGCTTCAAGGATGGAGGCCGCTCTTTATATCTATGTATATATAGTTCATATTTTCAAGCTGGTGTTGTAGTCAACGCGCCTGGTAAGGACGCCGGTCTTCATCTAGCGCGCTCTTGCGTCCTTGCTTCTGCAGCCCGTCCTTTGCCGTTTTCAATAGTCGGCCACACCACGTTAGCGCCGCGCATATTCCCCTAAGACGTCTGCAAGTGTTTCGAATATATTGAGGGTAGCTCCTTCTGATATTGTGGCTCTCGCTTTAGCGCCGTCCCCACTTGATTTGCAACAGTTGCATGGGTTTGGTTGGCAGAAGTCGCAGGAAGATTTGTTTGCACGGCTTAGGTTAGCCAGGACGCAACAGTGGCGTTGATTCGCGGTGTTGACATCCTAGGAATGGCGTTCTGGAGCGGCGTAGGATTGCCAGTACACAAAACGGTCACGCAGACCCGCGGCTTTGAATTCCCAGGAATTGTGTTTTGGCACGATATGGGGTTCTCAGGTGGTCGTCTTCTAGCGGGCCGCTTCCCGCACATGCAACAATTTCTTGCAGGGACCTGTGCTGAGGACGTTCAAGGGGCGGGTTGATTGAAACATCGTTGATGCGCCTTGGGTTTGCACCCGTCTATTTTTTGCACCCCACACCTGTTGTCATCTTTTGTGCTGCTCCTCCTCTTCCTCCTCCTCCGCCTCTTCCTCTCAGCTCTCCTTCTTGTCTCCGACTCCTCCTTCTCCTCCGACTCTTTCTCCTCCATTCCTCCTCAGTTCTTCCTCCTCCTCCTCCCCCCTCATCCTCCACAGTTCCTCCCTCCGATCCCCTTGCTCCTTGTCCTCCTCCCTTGCCACATCCTCCTCTTACCCCTCCCTCCCTCCTGGCTCCGAGACACCATGGGCGCCCAAGAGGCCCCCACACGGGGGCGCCCAGCAGGCCTTGAGAGGCCATGACCGCCCCACTGGACCGCAACAGGCCCCCCCAAGGGCCCCCACGAGACCCCAGGCGGCGCCCTCAAGAGGCCCCAGCTGGCTCTCAAGACGCGCCCACGGCGCCCCTAAGACGCGCCCCACGGGCGCCTGCCAGGTCAAGGGTACCCTGGGGTCCTCTGCTTCCCGGCCCGTGCCCGCTCACATTCCCTTGGCAATGTGGCCCTCGGAGGGGCCTCGTGTCCTCCAGCGCGCCCTCTCCAGTCAAGTCCGATTGCAGGACGCCCCCGCGAGACACGCAAGAGGGCGGACGAGGGGCAGAGCGGGAGGAGAGGGACGGAGGAGGAGGAGCAGGGCGAGAACAAGGAGGGGGAAGGCCGAGATGCAGGAGCGGGACGTCCAATGAGGAAGAGAGTTCGGAGGAGGTGGCTCCATCCTTGTCCTTCCCCCATCCTCCGTGATGCCTCTCTCCTCTGTAGTTGTTTTCCCCGCTTCGTCCTGTTCCTTCCTCCCTCCTCTTCATTCAGGAGGGGAAAAACACAGAGCCATAATTAATCGTCGATCCCCCAGAAATATGGGAAAATATGGGAAGTGGTGGGGAAGACAAAAACCCAGAAAACATAAGAAAAAATTGCGAATCTGCTTATTTGTGTATATGTATTTGTGTGTCCCAGGGCCCCTTCAGATTCATCTCTCCTTAACTCCTTCCTGCCTCCCCCTCCCGTTCCCGCCTCTGGCCTCCGACGCCCCGCCGCCGCCTCCCACATTCGCAATGGGTGGTAGCTTGACAGCGAGGTGCATGCTCACACGCCCCTTCACTTTGCTCCATTCTTGGCATCACTCGGTCGTGTGCATTTTTCCTTCGGCGAGGGCCATCGAGGGACATCCTTGACGATTTGGCGAATTACTCCGACGGTAGGACCCCGCATGAGAATCTGGTTAGCTTACCCTTTGCCCTTTCCTCTTCCTCCTGGGGCTCCCGCCTGAGACTTCCTCACAATTCACTCACAGACGAGGCTCCCGCTCAAGACTTCCTCCATATTCATATCTCAAGAGCCCAAAAGTGACGAAAGTTGCACGTTGCGGATGACCCGCCCGGATTCAAACGTGAAGTGCGGGCCCCCATAGGGAGGGGGCTCCCGCCTGAGACGTCCTCACAATTCACTCACAGACGAGGCTCCCGCTCGAGACTTCCTCCATATTCAAGTCTCAAGAGCCCAAAAATGACGACAGCTGCACGTTGCGGATGACCCGCTCGGATTCGAACATGAAGTGCGGGCCCCATAGGGATGGGGCTCCCGCCTGAGACTTCCTCACAATTCTTTCACAGACGAGGCTCCCGCTCGAGACTTCCTCCATACTCAAGTCTCAAGAGCCCAAACGTGACGACAGTTGCACGTTGCGGATGACCCGCTCGGATTCAAACGTGAAGTGCGGGCCCCCATAGGGAGGGGGCTCCCGCTTGAGACTTCCTTGCAATTCACTAACAGACGAGGCTCCCGCTCGAGACTTCCTCCATATTCATATCTCAAGAGCTCAAAAGTGACGACAGTTGCACGTTGCGGATGACCCGCTTGGATTCAAACGTGATGTGCGGTCCCCATAGGGAGGGGGTTTCCGCCTGAGTCTTCCTCGCAATTCACTCACAGACGAGGCTCCCGCTCGAGACTTCCTCCATACTCAAGTCTCAAGAGCCCAAACGTGACGACAGTTGCACGTTGCGGATGACCCGCTCGGATTCAAACGTGAAGTGCGGGCCCCCATAGGGAGGGGGTTCCCGCCTGAGACTTCCGTACAATTCACTAACAGACGAGGCTCCCGCTCGAGACTTCCTCCATATGCAAGTCTCAAGGGCTTAAAAGTGAGGACAGCTGCACGTTGCGGATGACCCGTTCGGATTCACACATGAAGTGCTGGCTCCATAGGGAGGGGGCTCCCGCCTGAGACTTCCTCGCGATTCACTCACAGACGAGGCTCCCGCTCGAGACTTCCTCCATATTCAGGCCTCAAGTCAGCGATTAGTGATGATGATGAGGATGATGATGATGATGATGATGATGATGATGATGATGATGATGATGATGCTGATGCTGATGATGATGATGATGATGATGATCGTTCGATGCCGATGATGGTTAGTGATCGTGGGATGGTGATGGTGATGGTGATGATGATGATGATGATGAGTGGGGAGTGATGGTGATGGTGATGATGATGCGGAGGAGGAAGCAAAGAGGAGCAGAGGAGGGGGAGGAGGAGGAGATCCTGCGCGGAGGGTGTGCAGAGAAAACAAGAACCCCACTTAGGATGTGGGGAAAACCACGCACGAAACCGAAACATGCACGGGAAATGGACGTCCGAGCGATGGCGAGTCCATTTTGCTCAATTCCAACATGTCCGTCAACAGGAGATCAGTTTGGGCCGCAGAGCAGCAGACGCACCATACTGCCCGATAGTGGTGGAGGCAGCGATGAGCTGCCCATTAGGGGAGGAACCCCATCGCGGAACACAGTGCGTGCTATTGCACCATACCGTCCGATTGTTGTGGTACATGTATCAGGAAAGAGGGGGGAAAGAGAGGGGGAGAGAGAGAGAGAGAGAGACAGAGAAATAACGAGAGAGAGCGCGAGAGAAAGAGAGAGAGAGAGAGAGAGAACGAGAGCGAGAGAACCATAGAGAACGAGAGAGAGAGAGAGAGAGACACACTGAGCGATAGAGAGAGAGAGAGAGCGAGATGGATATATAGGGTTCAGTTTTCCAAACGTTAGTGCTCTCAGTTTCAGCGCAGCCGCCTCGATAAACCGATGTACATCCATGGACATCGGGCTCAAGTGCATTAATTTGCGGCCAGTCCGCATGCAGCTTGCCCTTCTTTCCAATTCCTGGAACATTCTCTCCAGAGGCTGGACAGCCTCGCAGACGATCAGAAGTGTGTTGGCGCCCGTGGTTGCGAGTACGGGCGAGTGTGTAGCAGTGCTGGATCTCTTCGGCTGCACGCGGGGCCTGGCGAGCACCTCGTTCATCCTCGGGTTCCTCCTGGCGAGCGCCTTGTGCTGTGGGTGTCCCCATGGCCGTGGAGGCCGGCAGGAGGCTGCTCGTGCAGTGGGGGGATGGGCAGGACTGGCAGGCCCGCGTCGCCATCGCTCCCGCCACCGCCGCCGATCTGCAGGCCATCATGGAAGTTCAAGCGACTCCCGAACAGATAGCAGCAGGGAAGATATGGTGGTGCGGGACCCCGGACGGCGACGCCTACCCTCACTGCCTGGACGTGGGCCCGCTCAGCGGGTTGATCCTGTGCGACGACGAGGGCCGGCCCGATCGGGCGACGCTCCTCGGCACACGATTCACCAACCGCACGCGCGTGTATGGCTCGGACTGGAGCGCCACGCCGCTGGAGTTCGCCAAGATGATCAAGCTGTGCATCGGCGACCAGTGGCTGGAGCCCCGGCTGGCAGTAGTGGCAGCTGGGGGTGGAGCGGTGGCGAATCTGATTGAGGTCGGATCGCGGGTTCTGCCGCCCCCGACCCCCGACGGCTGGCAGGTCGTCTGGAGCACGGGCGGCACCCCGCGCAAGACTCTGCTGGGCAACCTGAACGTTGACGAGTTCGCTGTCTGTGACGTGGGTGCGCTCGCCGTGAAGGGCTCAGAGGTGCTGCTGCTGCGGAGGAGCTCAGGTGTCGATGATGACTTGGACTCGGACGCCCGCGTGCTCAGCATCGTCCAGAGCCCGAGTGGTGAGC